AAGTATGCAATAAACTCGACTCCTATTCTCCATGGAACCCTTAAGAATTGACGAAGTACGCACGATAGCCTTTCCTTTCAAACAAAAAAATGGTGATTGATTGCACATACAGTGCGCATCAAAGAAACCTAATCATAGTAAGAACGGAGGAGACGTTGCTAAAAGGTGTTTTTTTTTGACGCAGTTATCTCAAAATACTCATTTTAATTTTCTCCTTGCAGCAAGCGCAGAGTGCCTGCAGCAATAAACCAATTACCCCAATTTCCCTGGCCGTGGATTGACCATAGCCAGGATAATGGTCACTCACAGAGTAAATTCTCAGAGTAGTATCATGATAAGTAGAATATTATTAATTATTTGGACATATAGTGTGGCCTTAGTGGTTAGAGCGTCTGCCTCTGATGAGGGAGGTCGCGGGTTCGAATCATGGCCGAGTCATACCTAAGATTTATAAAATAGCATTAGAGTCTGCCTCGTTTGGCGCTTAGTACTAGGAGGTTAGTGTTAGGACTGGTCGGCCTAGTGTCAGGATAATGTGGTTCGTTGGGACATGATGCTATAGATCTGCGGCATGATGCCCCAGTGCTAGACATCATTATAAATTGCCACATTGCAGACATCGTAGCGATATGACTACAATTATTAAAGTTACGTTATAAACACACACACACACGCGCGCGCGCGCGCTATTTCATGTTGCAAAAGTATTTTATGTCCGATTGTGCTATACGAAATTTTTTTGAGGGATCACAATTTGAACATTGGTTTCGAACACAACAAGATCAGTCATGTAAAATTAAGCGGGTATATAGTAAATCATTGTATTCGTACTTAATCTTGTCTGATACACTGCAATGTTCAGACGCTATAGTTTAAGATGATTCACCGAGAGTCGTAGAAGTCTGTTGGGTTTCGTGTATCTCGATCGACACTGGCTCGGAGAAATGCTTTGGTTTCATTGCAGTAAGGAACCATAGCGTGAAAATGGGTTAAAATATGACTGAATAACGCTATATGAAAGAAAATCAACCAAACATTCATCTTATCTGAAGATAAACTTTACGTGTATATTTTTGAATTGATGAATACAAATAAATCATCCATGGTGATCCATTTATCGGTTATATATGTTTGCAAGTTCTATTCGTCAATTCTCTCTTGATTACTTGTTTGTTCGGATTATTTCCATTTAAGAACGATATAATTTTGTTGTGTTTATTGTTGAACTCTGCGCAGTATTCTGTTAAATCCTTGTTGACTTCATTAGCATTAGTATGGTGTTAGATTATTTCATAATTAAATTACATTATTAATAAACACATCATTTACGAATCTGTCTTTATACATCCATTCCCCGCCCGGATACATTTTGTTACATTGCTTCATAAATCGTTGCATCAAAATGCTAAAAAGTGTTGCAGTAAGATTGGTATGTCGTATGAAGACTCACGTGGAGAACTTTGGCATTCTGACCTAATTTACACCCTTCAGTCGAAATACGATAGACAGCATCAGCGACTGCATAGGCGATACTATTTTAGCAGTACACTTGAAGTATGCTAAGGTGTCGACGCAAATATACGATTAAAACTAAAACAGTAATGTTTCTTTACATATAACTGAACCTCACGCTCTTTGATACAATCTATCCATCCCCGGGTGTCCGAGTGGTCATAGCTGTTAGTCTTTGCTAATCACTACCATCTGAGCAATCCGCGTTGGATTGAGTCTCAGAGTGAAAATAAGAGATTTCTTTTATAGTCCACCATCCAACATCAAGGATAAAATGTCTGTCTTAAAAGTATAAATAGTGACGAAGAAAAAAATAATGCTAAATTATCAAGATTTACGTTTATTTTTGTGTATTTATCTGACCCCAACAATTTCTACCTCGCTCCCGTCTCTCAACGCCTTCTTTAAAATACTCTGTAGCTCCGATGGAATTAAAATTCGAAAAGTACTTTGTGATTAGTGTGATTAATGTGTCAGTGACATATAATACGAATATTGCACTCGGCTTTAACCGCAGTGTGGCTGTTTGGCTGGTAATAAGAACAGAGCGCACCGTGCTTAACAGGTACTTTATGCCAGATCTATTTGCATGACACGGTAAATTTGTGGTGGAATACATTGTAAGGTACATACTAATAAATCAGAGATAAGTAAGTATTGTTGCTGGTTCAATTAAAAACCACAAGAACAAAAAGAAGATTTAGAGCTAAATAACATTATGAGAGATCAAGTTTCTAAAAATATTAATAGTAGGCAATTGACGTAGTCATTAGAGAGCATACTGTTGGATTATAAATGTACTAATATATATATATATATATATATATATATATATATATATATATATATATATATATATATATATATATATATATATATATATATATATATATGTATATATGTATATATATATATATATATATATATATATATATATATATATATATATATATATATATATATATATATATATATATATATATATATATATATATATATATATTGCTCTTTCGTGCTTAGAATACTCGTGCAATACAGGGACGGATGCTGGGGTAGTGGAGCATATTTGAAGCCAGAACGCACCTATACAACCCCTCCACCCCAAATATTAGCTTCAAACAACTTGAACCTTTTCCCGAGCAAGTGTTTTTTATGCGTAATTAAAAATATGCTCTCTAGACAATTAAAATGTGTTAGTCTTTAAAGAATTTACCCCCTGGGTCATGTTGGGTGTTCCGTCCCACAAACTAGTCGCCTTCATGTATAGACATGACATTTCTCTAAAGGATTTACCCCCTTTGTCATGTTGAGTGTTACATCTCACAAACTGCTCGCCTTCATGTATAGACATGACATTTCTCTAAAGAATTTACCCCCTTTGTCATGTTGAGTGTTCCGTCTCACAAACTGCTCCCCTTCATGTATAGACATGACATTTCTCTAAAGGATTTACCCCCTGGGTCATGTTGAGTGTTCCGTCCCACAAACTGCTCGCCTTCATGTATAGACATGACATTTCTCTAAAGAATTTACCCCCTGGGTCATGTTGGGTGTTCCGTCCCAAAAACTGCTCGCCTTCATGTATAGACATGACATTTCTCTAAAGGATTTACCCCCTTTGTCATGTTGAGTGTTCCGTCCCACAAACTGCTCGCCTTCATGTATAGACATGACATTTCTCTAAAGAATTTACCCCCTGGGTCATGTTGGGTGTTCCGTCCCACAAACTGCTCGCCTTCATGTATAGACATGACATTTCTCTAAAAGATTTACCCCCTTTGTCATGTTGAGTGTTCCGTCTCACAAACTGCTCGCCTTCATGTATAGACATGACATTTCTCTAAATTATTTACCCCCTGGGTCATGTTGGATGTTCTGTCACACAAACTGTTCGCCTTCATGTATAGACATAAGATTTATCTAAAGTATTTACCCACATGGGTCATGTTGGGTGTTCCGTCCCACAACCTGCTCGCCTTTATGTATAGATTGACATTTCTCGAAAGGATTTACCCCCTGGGTCATGTTATGTTCCGTCCCACAAACTGCTCGCCTTCATGTATAGACATGACATTTCTCCATCCGATTATGTAATTTACAATATTATAAAGTTCTCTGAAGTGAAAGCCAAATGCTGATTTGCTAACAAATTATGACAAAAATATTATGCTTATTTATATGTTTTGAGTGTACAGTATACACAGACTTTGTTAGACGTGCTTTTTGAGACGTTTTGAGTATACTGTATAAACAGACTTTGCTATAATGGGCTTATTTATATGTTTTGAGTAAACTGTATACACGGATTTTGTTCGTTTGCTGGTCTTTTTGGCCCCTAACGGTACATCAACACGTGATAGGTGACGTCTTGTAAAGACATCTATAGATAGAAGTCAGTTATTTCCATGAATCCAATACGATAGAATCCACCACCATAAACCCCGTGAATCAAATCTCTGATCTTGCGTTTGTCTTTTTCGTTACATTTTTTCCTAATTTATTTTTATCTGACATAATAACATCAAGGGATAAAGCACGTGTATACTCTTTAAGTGACTATTATAGACAAGGTTCATAAACGTAAATCAGTGTGTGTATCTCCTTTGTTTAGTTTTAAAACAACAAGGTCTTCAAAGGAAGTAACTTGTGTCTTTGCTGACAGACTTTCTATATACCTCCAGTACTTTAATGCAACAAATAAAAAATACAAACCAAGAACGAAGATGTAATGTTTATTTTCTGGTTCTGCTATACTATATACATTTGATATCTAATAGTTAATTTTATAACAGTTGTGAGAACTGTGTAGTATTGAATTCAATTAATCATAATTATAATTATATTAATTATTATTGTTGTTGTCATTGTCTTGTTGTTGTTAGATGATGATGCAAGTTTGTTTGTTACTCAGAACCGTAACAGCAAAGAAGGCAACGGAATTAGAACGGTTTTCCACCAATATCAAAAGTACGTTTCAAAGCTATTCATTACTTGTGAATTTAATCAATTTTCGTATTTTTAGAACAAAAAAACTAATCTGAAAACGATTGATGATATCCGTTTACTGTAAATCAACGGTTTAAAAAGAGTCTTGATTGGCTGAAACCATTCTTTGTATAATAATAATAATAATAATAATAATAATAATAATAATAATAATAATAATAATAATAATAATAATAATAATAATAATAATACTACTATTGTTACATATGCTACTACTACTACTACTACTACTACTACTACTACTACTAATAATAATAATAATAATAATAATAATAATAATAATAATAATAATAATAATAATAATAAAGACACTAATAAAGATATTTACAGATATAGGTGTGATATTTTCGTAATGGAATAAAAATTCTGATTCAGTTTAATACAACACAAATAACCCTTCAGTTCTCTGTCATCTCGTATAGAGAACATTCTTTCAACTGCAGATAGAAGTGTTCTGCGATGAATTCTTCCTTTATATTCATGAATTAAAGCCCAAAGTTTCCTTACCTCTTGGCCAAATAGTTAATTTATGCACACTGTTTGCATTTCTATTTTTTCACATTGTTGCAATAACTTTTGATATCACTAATGTATTTTAACACATATTTCCTTTGTGTTGAACTTTGTCCAAGCTATGCCGTTCCTAAATTTAATTTGTGTTGGACGTTGTCCGGATTTTGCCGTTCCTAAATTTGTATTGGAATTTGGCTGGGCTCTGCCGTTCCTATATTTGTGTTGGACGTTGTCCGGGCTCTGCCGTTCCTAAATTTGTATTGGAATTTGGCTGGGCTCTGCCGTTCCTATATTTGTGTTGGACGTTGTCCGGGGTCTGCCGTTCGTAAATTTGTGTTGGAGGTTGTCCGGGGTCTGCCGTTCGTAAATTTGTTTTTTACTTTGTCCGGGCTCTGCCGTTCATAAAT